GGCACAATTCTCATCCCAACACGCATTTTGATACGCAACCCGAATATGACCCAACTCTTGGCCTAGCTCAACATTAGACGGATCATTATCAACATCCATCTGGATACGATCAAGTTCAGTCTTCAAAAAGGCAACACGCTTACCAAGGTTGCCATACGAATGACGAAGTTTCCGAAGAGGCCTCTTCAGCGCCTTTAAATGAGAAGTCACTCGAAACATAAAAGAACCCTCGATATATTTCCCTCATTCCTCCTTTACAACTTGAAGAAACCCTGGATGTTCAGTCAAGAAATTGTCAAACTTAAACCCAGTTCTTTTTTTCCAAGTGCCACATCTGAAAGACACCGTCACTGGAGCATGATCCGAAAGACCCGGAGGATGAAAATGAACACTAACATCATGAAAACCAGACGTGAAATCAACATTGCCCATAGCTCTATCCAATTTCCGCATGATACCTCCCAAAGCATTMGGTTTTTGGTTCCACGTAAAATGGACTCCCGTATAATGTAAATCAAATAAATCCACATCCTCTACAAAAGCAAAAAAATCAGCCATATCCAAATTACGACGAGAGGACCCTCCGAATCCATCATGAGGGAATAACATGGTATTAAAATCCCCCATTACAATCCACGGGGAAGAACCTATGAGCACTTTAAATTTTCGCAGCCCCGACCATAAAGCACGACGGTCATTACAAACATTAGCTCCATATACAAAAGAAGCGAAAATATAATGTTGACTACCCCGAACAAGCACCTTACAATTTAAGTACTGCTTATGAGCTTCTAAAACCATGACATCTAAAAATCGAGCATCCCAAGCAAGWATTATACGAGTACCATAATCACTCATGTTTTGATTAGAAACCCAATTCCATTGACCGAAAGAGTTATAGCAAACACTTTCAAGAGAATCCTTCGAAACATGAGATTCGACAATGGAGCATAAACACACATCATTACAATGGAGAAAATTCCGTACCTCTTTTTGTTTAACCGGAGAATTAAGCCCCCGGATATTCCATGAAGCAAATTTCATCATGAGGAAGGGTTTGGATTTTCTTCGTCCTCCCCATTAGTTCGATTCTCCCCCTGACCATCAGTCAGATCATTGACCACCTCATCATGAGAGTCCACCTGAGAATTTTCTTCCCCTAAGGTCTCAAGAACACCAAACTGATTAGAGTCAACATGGTTTATCACTACTCCTCGTCTCGGCAACCGAAAGTTTTTAATCACAGAAGATATTAGAGGGGTAGGAGTAGACATATTATGGATCGAAGAATTAGAGGATGAAGAAGATGGCCCATAAAAATTCTTACCTGGTTCACCCAATACATCCCTCCCCTCTGGCAAAGGAGGATCCATCTCCACATTAGTAGAAACCTTCCATTTCCCGTCCTTGACTTACAGCATTCACTCCCAAAGGCGCATCAATAGGGTTTGATTCCTTTCTTCCATTATCCGTTTGAGCACTAGAAAGTTCGGTTTTATTTCCACCTTTAACCCTCCATTGTTTTTTCGTCACCCTAGTAAACCCATCAGCATCTTTGCGGCTAACAATTTGCTTATCTTTATTCAAACTAGCAGCTCTGACACATGACGAAAGCTTGTGACCAAAAATTTGACAATGAGTACATTGAATCGGTTCCCATAAGTATTCTACTTGAATTTGCACACTATCGGGTTCACCACCATTAATGTTTGGGATTTCAACATCAATTTTCCGTTTTAGATCTCCCACAGCCCAAACCTCAACAAGAACTTTTGCAAAACCACGCCTGCCCCAAGCTTTTTCACACATTGAAGCAGTGCATGAATCCATTTGTTTAGGAATACCCAGAACACTCGCAATACGACTAACACCTTCTTTATTGAACGCAACTAATGGAATATTATGGAGTTTCACCCATAAAGGACAGGAGGAATGTTTCGGCTTTTTTAATCCCTTAGACGGATCCCAACGATGAACAAATAAAGGAACGCCTCTGATCATCAGCGGGCCAGTCTCAATCACTTGATCACATCCTCCAACGTCATTAAATTTAAAGAAAAAAATACCATTCTCATTAAGCATCGCATCCAAAAATCCAAATTTACCCCACGCCTGTTTAACAAATTTTTTCACCAGAGGAAAAGGAATACGGGGTCCCAGGAAATAGCCGTATAAAACTGAGTTATAGGCTTTGGCAGCTTCCTTCGCCATTTCTATAGGGATAGAGACATGAGCCTGTTTCTTGTCCGCAAGGGGATAAAAATTAAAATCAGTTGCCACAGAACGGCCAACCGCTTTAGAAAAAGTCAGGCTAGATCGTTCACCATTTCCCAAATCATTACTTTGATCCACAGAAGTAAGTCTATCAAAAACCGAAAGCCGAATAGGGTCAGTGCTAAGATTATCATCACCCATTACACCAGTTAAGAAGCCGTGGTGCTGAAGTTTTCTTTAAATACCCAAGTGAATTAGACGAAGACCCCCGAAGGGGTGTTGAATAACCACTAGGAATACTTTCAGAGAACAACGAAGACCACAGAAACACTTAACCAGCACAAGAAAGAATCAAATCAGCCCACGATCAACCAAACAGCAGCAAAACAAACTTTTTTACGAGACAAACAGCAGCAAAAGCAGGAAAAGGGAAGCAAAAACTCACCCACGAAAATACCCAGAAGAAAACGAACCAACAATTAAACCTCCACCTTCAACAACAGCAAATAACAAAACACAGCAGCAAACAGAAGAAAAGGGAACCACCCAGCACACAAAATAACCAAAAACGAACTGCACCAAACAAAAACCCGACAGCAGCCTTAACGATTCAAATCACAGCAACCAAATAGACACACTTAAGCAGATCGGTCGCATAAAATCACCAGCAGAATCGAAAAGAAACCAGCAGACTTAGAACGAGACCCACCACACAGTCTCAAAACAATCTAACAGGTCCCAAACTCGGCAAACAGAAGGTTCTTAGCACCAAGACGACAGTTACAAAGAAGAAAAAACAGCAGCTATGGAAACAGCCACTTGAAACCCTAATATGCAAGCCAAACCCTAGTTGCACCAAACCTTTATCGAACCAGAAACCAAACCAGAAGAGGATGAACCAGAACTTAGAATGCAGCGATCAAAACCAAACAGAAAGCATACCATATGAAGGAAACCCTAGTAGCCGCCGGCTTGAAAACACAAAGCATGCAAACCCTAGCGCCACCAACAATAGATCCTAGACCGAAAGCAATACCGTCGTGAAACCAGCCAACCAAATCGAAAATCTTCACAGCAGAAAATCAATCCCGACGTGAAGAAAAGGCAGCCGAAGAAAACCCTAATCCTTCAACATCGGATTCAAACAAAAGAACACAAAGCAATCAAAAGCAACATCCAATGCAAGAAGGCGTGAAGAAAAAAACATGCAATAATCTTCAAACTTCCTTGTACGATCCAAACTTCACCACCATCTTCTTGCACACAAACCTTGGTCCATTTGGTGTTAGTGGATATAACGGGCCTATTTCTCTTTAAAAAGTCCAATTGGGTCAAAATGACTCAAACAAGGTCATAAAAGAAATACAGAGTTTAGGCATACTACCACACCCAACAAAACTGAAACACAAAAGACTTGGTCACCACACCATACCAAGCCGCAACGAGCCAGAAGATACAAAGCCCAATAAACACAAACAAGCTACAAAAAATAAATAAAAGGAGCTTAAACCTCATAAAAGCCCCCCCAAGCTAGACCCTATCCTTCATGTAAACTATAATATCCGTGTTTTCGTTAACTCGTACAAATTGGGTTAAAAGAATTTTGGTAGAATTATGCATGATATATTTGTACGCTATGCTTAACCAATTTGTACCCTAGACTAGTTTTACGTCAAAATGTGTTTATACCTGTATTGACGTAAAGTTGGGAATTTAACTTGAAGGGTAAAAACCGTCAAATAGTTAAACTTTATATATATATATATATATATATGAGGCGGTAACATTTATTAAAAAAAATACTTAATATATATGCATGAGACGGTGTCTACACCGTCTCAACTTCTCAATTCTCAAATCTCTCGTTTCTTTTTCTCTCTCTAAAATTCTCTCGTCTTCTCTCTAAATTTCACATCAAGCTACTAAGGGGATCGAGGTAACAATTATATATTCGGAATCCACTCTCCAAACCCTTCTTAAAGGTATAAGTTTCATTCAGTTTCATTAAGGTGTTTTTGTTAGGGTTATTAAGACCGGTTTATAAACTGTATTTGTATCTAAGTTTACGGATTGATATTGTCAAAAATATGATATATTTGATGTTTAGGATACTAGTACTGGTTAAATTGATGTAGATATGAAAAGGGTATATTATAGTTTCAATATGATTAGATTGTGGGTCAATGTTTAACCGTACACSAATTGTTCGGTTAAATGTCGAAAGGAGTAAAAATGCATGATTAAGCTTAGGTTATCGACCATTGGATTTGTTTTACTCTTTAGTATGTTGAAGTACGTTTATAGTATGTAAATGTAGCGAATCATGAAAGTTGGATCATAAAAGTTAGTCGGGAATTACGGAATCGAATTTTACCGACAATGTAACTCCCGTACTTTGACAGTGTGTAACTCACAAACCGTAAGTCGGATTAAGCTCATATTTTGCAGTCAGGAAGATCATATTGTATACTACAACTTTCATTTAGACAGTATAGTCTGGATTGGTCTCTAAGGAAGGTAAAAATGATTAGAAATAAGAGGGTCGGAAACGGTTGGATCGAAAGAGAAGAAGGTTAAGTTTTACGTTTGAGTTTTCAATTCGTATCCAGCTGTCCTTCTTGAAGTCTACGTTGTTTAAGTACATTAAGACCTAAGTAATTTCAATAGAATAATTATGTTTCGGTTTTTATGCTTTGTAAATAGTAACCAGTTATGCATTCGTTAGGCACGCGGACAAATCAAACTTGATCGTGAATTTACATTTGATCGTGCTTTAATTGTCAAATTCAGTTAAGGTACGGATTTCATATCTCACTTGACACGGGGATAGCCATTTGCATAAGGCTTCCTAATCCGGATAATCTGTGATAAATTCCGAATAATTTG